CGGTTTACAGAGAGTCAGCATATTGCCCCCAACAATCTGGGTCCTCATTTTACCCACCTCGGAAGGATGGAAGGCTGAGTCAACCCTGACTCAGCTTAAATGGACTCCGGGGATGGTAGAGGACAGGAAGGTCTGGAGGAACGTTGTCCATGGGGTCGCGATGGGTCAGACATGACTTCGCACAACAAAAACAGATTTAATTGATCTATCAGTTTTATTTATGCCAAAAATATAAAAACAGCAGCTGTGCTAATACCCTTTTTTCTTCGAGTTCAAGGAAATGTACTTGGAGAATCTCCGCTCATTTGATAGTTTTAACAATGATCCTGTAAAGAAAAATAGGCTGAAAAGACTGTAACCAGTCCAAGGTCATCCAAAGATTTCACTGATCATCTGGGTTGTTCCTGGATATCCCTTACATTAGGGGTCCCCAGGCCACGGCCCACTACCCACAGTCCTTTTGGAACCTGGCTGCACAAGCAGCAAGTGGCACACACATATTCACGCACATTTCAACTTGTGTGAGTGGCGGGCCGGTGTACGTGCACATATGTGTGTAGCTCAACGTGCAAATTGAGCTATGCGCCGGTCTTCCATTCACACAGTTGAGCTGCACATGTGCACATGCTGGTTTCCCTCTTCCCCGCCCACCCCAGCTGGGCCACCAAGCCACAAAGGTTGAGGACAGCTACCCTACACTACATTGGCCATTAAGTACAAATAAGTTAATTTATGAGTAATATTAAACAGTAGTGCTTATAATGTGCAGGACAAGCATATCCTGATGCAATGATGCCTTGCCCAACTGATGCCTGCAGGTTTTTTTGGAATTACAGCTGACGGTGTTCCCCATCAGCTGGAAAATCCAGACACTGTGGTTACAACATATCGGAAGGCATCTACTGGCTAAATGAATAACTCAGATGTGGTACAGATTGTCCCCATCTTACAACTATTTGTTTAGCGATTGTTTGAAGCTCCACTGGAAAAAATGATTCATAACCAATCTTAAGACTGTCACAGCAGCATCCCTACGGTCCCATGATAAACATCAGAGCGACTGGTTACCGTCATATAATTACGATGATTGCAGAATCCTGGGATCATATGGTTGCCATTTGTGACTTTGTCAGCCAGCTTCCAACAAGCAAAATCTATGGGCGAAGGCAGATTTACTTAACAACTGCATGATTTACTTAACAAACTCAATGATTTGCTTAATTCGCTTAAACCAATTTCATTGTATACATGATGTACAATGGCAATAAAGGCTATACCTAATAACTATGGCAAAAAAGAACATAAAATGAGGCATGAGTTGCTTAACAACTGCCTTGCTTAGCAATGGAAATTATGGTTCCAGTTGTGGTTGTAAGTCAAGGACTACCAGTATTGAGTCATCATAGGGATGACATGGAATCAACTGGGGATTCAAGAATAAGCTTAACACTTTGACATGAATGGATGAATATCAGTGTTTGAGGTTTTAGCTCACAACTATCAACAGATAGTTACCACAGAGTAGCACTTGGTAGAGACGCCATGAAGGTCCTTGGAAAGTTTACTCAAATGACACGATTTATCTATTGTGCTTACAAAAATCAGAATTGTGCAAGTTATGGTATTCCTTGTCCCACACTCTGTGAAGCAAAAGTTGTATTTGAAGAGGCAGAACAGGAAGAGTATTGACGGTTTGAACTTTGGGATCAACAGATCATTCCATAAGTCAATCCAAGGTTCTCTGTCAAGGTGCCAATGATCGGGCTCACATTGTCCTACTTTAGACCAAGCTCCCTGGAAAAGCTTTAATGGGGTGAAAGACGGAAGGAAAGACAAGAGGATGTCCAGCATCTTACAGTGGTAATGAAGACACCATTGGGAGACCTGGACAGGACAGATTAGGGACCAACAGTCATGGAGAAAATCCATCCCTACGGTTGCTAGGAGTCAACAATGATTTGTTGGCATGCCATCATCGTCGCCATCATCCACCACCACCACCATCAATCATCAACTTGGACTTACTTACTTGGACTTAATCTTCGTAAATGTCAACGTCCATAAGGTAGTGACCGTTACATTGTGAAGGCCAGGGGCAGGACGTCACGGATTACAGCACGCCATTGATCCCGATTTAGGGCGGCTTGTTGGGCATCAGTTATCGAAAAATGGANGGTAAGGGTCCGGATCTCTACGGGTAGATCGTTCCACAGGGCTGGCACAGCTACAGAGAAGGCCCTCCCCCTAGGGGCCACCAGCCGGCATTGTCCAGCCGACGGCACCCGGAGGAGGCCCAACCTGTGAGATCTTATTGGTCGTTGGGAGGTATATGGCAGAAGGCGGTCTCTCAGGTAGCCAGGACGTAACCATGTAGGGCTTTAAAAGTAACGACTAGCACCTTGAAGCACGTTCGGAGACCAATAGCGAGCCAATAGTCAGAACCAGCTGAATGCCACCTCTGTGCTGTACATATGTTCTTTAGTATAGACTGACAGCAGAGAAAGTACATGAGAAGGACAGGAAAGGAAGATCTGGAGCTTAGCAGACATGGCATAGAAGCATGGTATTATTAGAAAACCTGTTCATTTTCAGTTGGCCAAACAAATCTCAGAATAAAAAAAAGGAACAATGTTAAGGAATTACTACAGTTCTGCAAACAGGATCAGTACACAGGAATAGAAAGAGATTGAGGAGCATTCATAAGTATCCTGATGCTGAATCTTAAATATCTCACATTTGATGCTGTTTTGAGTCATTATGCTATTAAAAATAAAGCCAGAAATGTTATTGTATATGTAAAAAACCTGCATGGTTTTTTCTTCTTCTTCTAACTCTTCTTTGCAAACCATCTAATTAATTTCAAAGTTTGAGATTCTCAGAAAATGTCATGGGATATTTATTTCTTTTTATCCGGCGCTAAAATGCTTCCTTTCATCACTATGAAATCACTCACCTTCTGAGTCTGATTATTGATGACCAACTCATAGATGGGTGCTGCCTTTGTGACTTCCAGGAGGATGGGTTCAGCTACAGCATCTGGGCTAGAGGTCACATGACATAAAGGACAGGAGGAAGGGCAGCGCCCCCTGCTTTGGCACTCCATGCGCACCCCAGCTGCCATACGCTTGGTCCCGGATTCTGACAAACTGGCAATGTACTCTGGAAAAGTGAGGACCCTGGGATCTCGCTCACGCTCTTCAGATTCATCTGATGGGGAATTACCTGCAACATATACCACTGGATAAAATCAGGAATCAATAGCAATAGCAATAGCAGTTAGACTTATATACAGCTTCATAGGGCTTTCAGCCCTCTCTAAGCGGTTTGCAGAGTCAGCATATCGCCCCCAAAAATCCGGGTCCTCATTTTACCCACCTCGGAAGGA